ACGTACTATTCCAGGCACTAGTCGCGGTCGCGGTTGGGGTACTACGCGGCCAAATGCAACTCCTGCGGGGCCGCGGATTGCTGGAGATTTTTCATCAAGCTTTCTGAGACCTCAGAATTACGCCGTTCCTGAAGATGCCGAACAAATGATTCAATATTTTGCTATTGAACCTCCTATTGGCTATCCCGGGTGGCGTTTATATTTCTATAGTTCAAATTTTAAACAAAATAGCATAATCCATACGCGTATCAAACTTATGGAATTGGAATATGGAATATTATAAGAATTACGTAATAGAATATAATTTACTGGACACACACAAAGGGTATACTTTCAGATAATGGCTAAAATATTGCAGCTGCAAACAAAAGGGATTGAAACATAAAAAGGAGCCTCAATTGATCATTATTTACTGGAAATATAAAATTTGAAAATTCATGTAGAAGAATGAAAGCACTACCATCTATCTGAAAATAATAAAAATATACCAAATCAATTTGCGGATATGTCGCATGACTTTTGAAAATCCTCTCTGAAAAAACTATATATTTTCTCAAGGAACCGTGCAAAAAGAGTAAAATTCGTATTACATATTGATGAAACAAAACCAATTCATTTTTATTACAAAAAAAAAAATATATATATTGATATGTCTATATTACATATAGCGTAGAGTGAAAATTCAGTTTAATTCATTAGAGATGGGCCGTGGCCGCAGCCCAATCTTTCCAGCGACTATCGAGGCTTGCGGCGACGGGGAAGATGCCCCTTGCGTCGTGGAACTGCCGTGCCGAATCACCGACAAATGAATCTCACAATTAATTTTAATTAGTAATAAATTAAATAACATAATAAAATTGCCTTATGCAAATGGTAGTGAAACCAGTTTCAGTTGAATTATTGAGCGATAATAATATTTCATATTCTCTTAAAGAATTAAGGAAAAGTTCAAAGCCGTCTTAATGGATCAATATCATAAACCGACACTAAATCAAGATGTTTTGAGCAAACATTGGTATGTAATCTCTTTATTCCTCCCGAAATAGATTGTACACTAACTAATTTTACAAAAAAATTCGAGCAATTATTTCGTAATAGATTCAACGAGAAAGTGTTACAAACTGCCAGAGAAATAATGCATAAGGATTTACAAGACATGACCATCGTAGCACCGTCTTACGTATCAAGATCAAATTGAAGATATGTAAACGTTTTTCAGTCTCTGCGCATCTTTTATATTTTTGCGAATTTGTCGGATGGAATTTAATTTGTGGAAAGAAAGAAAGTCAAAGTTTGGGAAAAAAGTTATATATTTTTGTTTTGAGCTTAAAAGTGTTTATTCATTTTTCTATTTATGTATTATGCATTATTTACAAGAGAATGATAAATAAGTTTCGGTAAGAGACTATTAAGATTAGAATTAAAAAGAAATATTCGAGGATTCATGTTAGAACAGAAGAAACGGGTAAAACATTGTATTTGTTCTTATTGCTGAACCGTGTTATTTCAAAATTGGGAAAAAGACCGCATAAAAACAAGGTTCGATGTGTAAGTTGCTTATATTGCCATGTTATGGATATCGCCTGATTGAAGTATGGTATATTATCTAAAATCTGAAAATAAATGTATTACTTATGAAAGCATAGAACAGAAATCGCATAGCATAGAAATCGAAGAGGGTTCCTGATATTTAAATTGAATAATTTTTATTAATTAATTGCTATTAACAGGGTGAATGTTCATATATGCTTCGTATTATTGCACAATTGGCTTTTTTAAATAAAAATTGTTTACCTTTCGTATATAATCGATTACACTAATTCCGGCACTTCAATAACATCAATTTTCATATGTTCCAATACCGTCGTTCTTATTGTGAAGTTCAGTTTGTTCAATTAATGACCTAATTAGCTTTCAATATCATTATTAAACAAATTAGAGACTTCCCCGAACGTAGAGTCAAAACGTAAAAAAAATATCAGAAAATGAGTGAAGAATTAAAATTATCTAAGAAATATACCTTGGAAGCTGATTCCGAGTTACGCATTCAAAAAAAGGATGGAACCGTTAAAGTGTACGTGACATTGATATTGGGCTCTGCTGAAGTTCTTGGCGCTGAGCTAATAAAAGACAAAAAATACGAGTTATCGACAAATGTTAATGAAACAATTTGCACTTCTTGTGGGTGTGTTTTGCACGTAGAATTTTTAGATGATGAAATCGAAGCTATTTACATATCGAAAGAGTCGACAATGAGTCAATATCGAAATTACCATAAAAACTTGGAAGAAAAGCGAATGGATGCGGAAAAGAAGGACAAACGCGGTCCAATCGCTATGGTGGTCGGTCGTAGAGGTACGGGACGGAGTGAATTTTGTCGGATAATTTTAAATCTTGCTGGCCGTTCTGCTAGGACTCCTTTATATGTTAATATTACCGTAGGTAGAGGCGCCATACCAATAGCTGGAGTAATCGGGACAAGTATTGTTGAACGAATTGATATAGAAATAGACTTTTGGAAAGAAGGTTCCCCAATGTATCATTTCGGCAGCATTGATCCGGAATCTGACAACAATTTATTTCGAACATTAATAAAAAAAGTAGCAAAAAACACTTTGGAATCCATGAAAGCAAAGAATACTGTGAAATATTCTGGTGTCGTTATAAACCCTTTTGGTTGGGTAGAAAACGCCGGTTACAATAATTTGATTGAAATTGCTCAAGTTTTTGGAGTGAATACTATTTTTGTGTCGGATGAGGAGCCTTTATATCAAAAATTTCTTGAAGACGTGCCTTCATTTATGAAAGTTGTTCTATTACCCAATATGTGGAGTGCCGTCCCAGAAAATAAGACCGCACGCACCAATGCTAGAAATTTGCAAATAAACAAATATTTTTATGGACCCAACCTATCATTGACCCCTTTTTCCTTTGTGATTAAATTCGCTGATTTGAAGCTGTATAGCATTAATTCTTGTAAACCATTGAAAGGAGAAAAACAGAAGACCAAGAAAAGCAACGAAGTTCAATTGAATGTTATTAACCCAACCCCGGCTCTTATCCATCATGTGCTTAATATAAGTGATGCCGAATCAACAGAAGATGATGTATTAGGAACACCTTTAGTCGGCATTGTATGCGTTAGTGAGGTGAACATGGAACAGGAGTTTATAAAGGTTATATCGCCAAAGCTTTGCTTCGTAACGAACAAGTTGGTTCTATATTCTGAAGTAAAAGTTATAAACGATAATAACTGATTTGATTAAAAGAAAACTTATAGTTCGGAAAATGTCATAAAAGCTTTATACTATTGTATAATAATAAATGCTTGCTAATCATTATTTTAACAAATTCTTCTTTTTTTTTTCTAATAAAAATAGAAACTAATGCAAACATTTTTTTTGAGGCATGTAAAAATCAGAGTGGAAGTACCTATTTAGCTAGTGGGATTGACCCCCTCTTCGATTCTGTTTTTTTATTTTCGACGTCTATTTGATTCACGTTCGTTTCACTCAACCTCTCGAATCTGTTAAACCTCTAGTTGGATTCATTTACTGTTCTCATACAGGTTTGAATTAGAAAGAACGTAGAATAACACAAACTTGAATCTTGGAAGACTTTCGTTGCGATGTTTCTGTTTTCTTTCCATCAAATCTAATGAAGAGCTAAAGTTCTGACGCAGAGTGAATCGGAATACAAAACCTTAAAAAAAGAGGTTCAAATCTGATTAGAATTGATTTCTGGGAATATAAAATTTTCCTTTGCATTATTAATGGAAGAACATATGATAAAACTTCTTCTCCTTCTGTGATGCGTGATACCTGTCTAACGAGTTTTACGAAACTCATGCAATCAGAGGAATATTTGATATGTACATATTGCCATAATATCGTAATACTAAATTTATTTCTTTAGCGTTGAACCAACCGAAAAAAAGGTAAAAACGTTACAAAAAAGAAATTTGTAAAGTGTACGGTGGGAATGCTATGGGTGAACGAAGTACCCGGGAGTGGTTCGTTCGATTCCGTTCTAGAAGTTTCGATGTCAAAGATGCACCTCGCACTCGCTGAAAGAGTCGATGAAATTTTTCAATTGTTGAAGCAAGACCCGAACGGAAGATGTCAGGAAATACCTGGGACACTTAACATCAACCAAATGCCACCAGGCTACAAAAAGAAGCTCGAAATCCGGGGAAGACTGCGAAGAATTTTTAATAACCCCTTGATTGCCTTCAATGATGTAAGCTTCTTTAGCAGTTGTTATAGTTTCTGTAAATCTTTAAGGAAGCAAGTAGGTGGCAGACTTCTGTTATATAAATTTTTTGTAGTACCTTTCATTTGCAAGTTTTTTTCTTTCTCTAGAATATACCCTACGTAGTAATAATATTTTCTAGTCACTCCAGAGTATATACTAAGCTTATGACAGGTTTATAAAGCCTGGGAAAATGCTTTCAAAATTCCATAAAGCTATGAATATGAGCAACGATGCTTGTCGTTATTAGCGCTGCAAAGCTTTCATTATTTTCTTCACTGATCTATGATAACAAATGAAGATCAACAAGTTCGAAAAAAGATCACTTCCGAGCTAAACTCTCTTAACACAAAAGAGCAATCACATGTTATCATCTTACAAAATTTTTGTAAGTGCTTCCTACTTGGATATCCTAAATGCGTTTTGAGCATAGTATCGAGTTTATTTGTTAATAACACTGAGCGTTGTATATAAAATTGAAAATTTTATTCAAAAATTATACAAAGCTATTCTCTAATTTTCCCATATTTCTGACAGAATACGAATTTCATGCCAAAAGGATCACGTCTGCCTAGAAAAGTGACTCATTCTTTGGAGATCGTCGTAAAATATTCGATCGTCAATCAAATATTGATTTTGCTCTTAATCAGGAAGAGGTATATTTGTCCAAAATAATGAAGGGAGGAAGTGAAATTTTATTACGTACTGGTAATGTTTCGTTGGCAATTGCAATGAGATTTGATATGTATGGGTCCGAATGTACACTTCAGCTACCCTTTCTGCACTAATTTCGTTTTTTGTATCGCATTATAGTACGCTATACCCTCTCGTTCAACTATGCTCATAAAATGGGGAGAGAGCAAGAAGGCCCCTGAAGCTTAGATTTTTGTCCGTCGTTCAAAGAATTCTTTTTCAGGTTGGATTTGTTTTTGAGGTACTACGAGTATTTTCGAATTACCGCATAGTATATCGTTAAGAAACTCGACTATCAAGTCACCATCGGTGTATGGCCGTGGCTGTAGTGAACACTTACACTGAACACTTACCTACCGGGCACTAATATCTGATTCAATTTAAATTAATTCCTGTAGGGTACACTTATGTCGATGTTTTTTTGAAATTTTCGAAAGAGCGAATTTTTCGGGTGATCTTCATGGAAGCGAAACCACCTCCGAAAGTTGACTTTTGAGGCCGGAGTTAGGCCAAATTACATTAGATGATGTTACGGAACGATTTCACTTGAATTTCTAATGGGCAAGAAAAAAAGCCGTGCTCAGTATAGGAAGAATCAATATCGATTATGCTGTCCCGAGAAGATTAACAACTCTCTGAAAAACACACTCTTGACTTTCTTAAAAAGGTGTTCATGAGTCGACACCTGGACTCGCAAGGACAGTGAGATCGTGCATCGTCTTTAATGTAATCCCTATCTCTTTCGAACAAGTTGAACCTTGTTATCAAAACCGTCTTCCAATGTATTTAACGGAACTTCCATCTATTAGGCAAAATTTAATGCAATTTCTTTACCAACTTCTTTTCTGAATGTAAAGCTGTTAGCTTATTATCCTGCAAACGTAAAGGTTATCTTCTTAACCTCTAAAGATATTAGCATGAAAATCAACATGCGAATCTTACGCCCTACTCCTTAGCCCCTTAGATCGGCCGGTTTAAATGGACTAAGTCTTATTACTTCTTGATCTACAACAATTTGTCACTTTTCGTATACATTATGTTACGTCTTGAAGATATAAGAACAAGACAATATTACAATTTACAGAGTATGTTACGCTTACAATCTTATGCTATATTTATCCTTTCATAAATACACTTTCCTCGATTCGTACTGAAACAAAGCTTAGGTATATAATGAACGCCAAACTACACAGCTAGTAAGCGATGTATGTTTAAAGATAAAATTTTCATCTTTTGAACACAGAGAATTATTATAAGCACATTAAGTGATTCAAGTAACTGTTATAGGCGCCTCGAAGATATTAACGTCATTCTTATAAATATCATATAATTATTGTTTTCATAAGTGAATCATTTGTTAATGAAATGACTGAAATTCAATTAGTATTCACTAAGGTAACGTTCACGTTCCTAAAACAGATTAGAAACATTAATTACTAGTTGAATATATTATTAATTTTTTAGTATTTTGATCAGAGGAAATTCCCTATTAATTGAATTATAATTATTTTATAAACTTGAGCAAGACTTTCATTCAATGAAAATGATTTTACATTTTATCATTAATTCTTATACCCTACTCGACTTGCGTTACAGATGAACTTGAGATAGACTTACCTTTTATTATAACGATTGATTCAGAAAGTGTTTATAAGCTTGTCTGTCCATCGGTCCCTCTTGTTTTCTTATGTTCAACCTGCAAGTTGTATTTTTTGAGATTTTCATGACATTCGATACACCGATATAGCTGTCCGTTCGTCCGTCTTGTCTTTTTTTGTTTAACTTGCAGATTGTAATTTTTGAGATATGACGTCTATAAGATCGACGGCTTCTGGCCTAAGGACGAACGCTATTGAAAATTGTTAAGTACGGATAGCTAGCCATATAAAGCCTTATTTTGAATAACAGTAATAAACGAAGCAATGTAGGGTATTTCACGTTGGGCATTGCTCTACGGTAAACTTTTTACTTCTTCATTGATAAGGATTAGATGAGTACACATCGCTTTACAACTGTAAGTGACGCATATGATAATGGATGAAAAAGATCTTAATCTCTTAAGCGTAGTTTTGTTTAAGCAGGACGAGCAGCTTCCTCGCCGGGGTTAGAAATTCATTGTGTTTATCGAAGATAAAACTTTGCCAATGCTTCCCGTTAAACATTGAAAACTTATGGGAAGGTAATTGAATGACGCTCCGGGATGTGTGAATAATCCAAAGAAAGCAATGAGTTTAAGCCACATATAGTATAGATTAGGACCACATGGGTCCGTAATCTTCAGGTAACTTCAGGTGCACGTAGCTTGGCTAGAATTCGTACCCGGCTTCTTGCAAATTTCTTAAGTGAAGGGAGCAGCCCTTTGAAATTTCGCGGTTGGAAGTGCCGTCAATAATAAAATTTTGAAACACACATTGGCATCGCCAAATAAAGAGAGGGGAGAACGGTCTACAGCCATTTCTTCCATTCTGGTGCTTCAAAATGTAAGATCCCGCTAATTGATGCATACAGCAGGAAGAGGGTGGCTATCGGTTCCGGTGTCATTAAACATCTTGGAATTAAGTATATATATACGCTTGTGTCTTGTATGAAACTCCTATAGGCGATTAATAGGATATTGGCTTTTTTCTCATTTTTGTTTTTGTAAAATGCAAAATAATGACAATTTCTTGAAATTCCTGTCATACTTACGTTTATAAATGTTTTTACAGTTTGTTAACTTTGTTAATTAATTTTTTTTTTTTTTTTCATTTTCATTGAATAACACAAACTCGAAGCAAAATTTTATTTATGTCAAACATTTCGTCATTGATGTTTCGAGATTATTTATAGTTCATTCACGCACTCTTTCAATGGCCTTGAACGTAAAGCGGGGGATTCTTGAATTTTTGTTTCATTTGCTTATGATTTGAATTTATAATGTGCATATATTCAGTTTGTTGGTGAGGAACCAAAAAAAAACAAATATTAATGACTCACTCATAGTCTAGAGCTCAGGTATAAGATTTATTTATTCATAAGCATGAGAAAGAAGTTTTCGGGTTTATTCAGAATTTTTCAAAGTAAAAGGGAATTTTTTTAGATGAGTAAAAAATGATGAGCGAGTAACACCGATTGTTATGGTACCCTAACTAAGTGCTTGTCTTGCCCTATGCTTATAATAATTTCATATGGAATTTATTAAAATGAACAATAAAATGAAAGAAGGAATTCTTTGATCATTGGTATCCATGTGAGTGAACATTCGACTTACTACAGACTGTTCTCTGACCTCGAAAGAATTTCAAAAGTGAAAAATACCCAATGTAGTCAAACA